GTTGATTGTGGATCCAAGTAAAATGAAATCCTTGACAATTTCAGTATTTTCTCCGTTTATCATAATGCTGCTTATTGGTCCAGTTGTGAGGATTTTTGTTTTCTTTATGCTGAGGTGCAATCCATACTGAAGGCTGTAGTCTTTGATCTTCATCAGTAAGTGCTTCAAGTCCTCTTGGCTTTCATCTGCATATGGCAGGTTGTTAATGAGTCTTCCTCCAATCCTGATGCCATGTTTTTCTTCATATAGTCCGGCTTTTTGGATTATTTGCTCGGCATAAGATTGAATAAATATGGACTGGGGACCATGGTCTCGGAGGACATCTAGATCAACTGACATAACATAGTTCATAAAGAAAATGTTCTACATCCTACTCAGGTGAGTAGTGTCTGGGGTCTTTTCAAGCGGCCGTTTGTGAGTGGCCATCTAAGATACATCTATTGGTCCCATCCCATCCAGAGCAAAGGAGAATGAAGAAAACCAAAGACACAAGGAGAATATTGGTCCACACATTGCAGGAATTGCAGCTAATGGACCATATGAACCAGCCTGAGCCTAGAAGAACTAGATGGTGCTCAGCTACCACCACCAACCACTCTGACAGGGATCACGACAGAGGGTCCGGACAGAGTGGGAGGAAAACGTAGAACAAAATTCAAATCCACAAAAAAGACTAGACTTAATGGTCTGACAGAGACTGGAGGAATCCCTGAGACTATGGCCCCCAGGCACCCTTCTAACTCAAAACTGAAGCCACTCCCAAAGTTCACCCTTCAGCCAAAGATTAGACAGGCCTGTAAAACAACAGCACACGTGAGGAACGTGCTTCTTGGCTCAATCAAGCATACGAGACCAAATGGGCAACACCTGACGGAAAGGCAGGAAAGGACAGGAAAACTGGACAAACAGAAATGGGGAAACTGGAGTGGAAAGGGAGAGAGTGCTGACACATTGCAGGGATTGCAACCAATGTCACGAGACAATTTTTATAAACTTTTGAATAAAACTAATTTGCTCTGTAAACTTTTACCTAAAGCACAATAAAATAAAAAAGATTTAATAAGTATAGTGAAAGGATACAATCCTGACACACAGTTTTCCTGATTTTAAACCATGAAGTATCCCCTTGTTCTGTTTGAGTGACTGCCTTGATCTATGTACAGGTTCCTCATGAGCACAATTAAATGTTCCGGAATTCCCATTTTTTGCAATGTTAACCATAATTTGTTATGATCCACAGTCAAATGCCTTTTACATAGTCAATAAAACACAGGTAAACATCTTTCTGTATTCTCTGCTTTCAGCCAGTATCCATCTGACATCAGCAATGATATCCCTCCTTCCACGTCCTCTTGAATCCGGCTTGAATTTCTAGCAGTTTCCCGTTGATGTATTACTGCAGCAGATTTTGATGATCTTCAGCAAAATTTTACTTGAATTTTCACTAGAGATAGTATTAAATCCATTACTAAGTGAGAGTAACACAGTTTTGCTGAGGATTCAGACTTTAACTTAAGTTTTCTCTAGTCATTTTCTTTTTTAAAAATAAACTATTTTTTAGAACACTTTTAGGTGTACAGAAAAATTGTGCAGAAGGTACAGAGTTCCTGTATCTCCCTCTCCCATGCATGATATTTCTCCTATTAACACCTGACATTCCTGTGATACATGTGTTACAACGGATGAACAAATATCAGTGCATTATTATTAACTAGGGGAGCCCTGGTGGCGCAGTGGTTAATACTTGGCTGCTAACTGAAAGGTCAGCAGTTTGAACACACCAGCTACAGGAGACAGATGTGGCAGTCTGCTTTCATAAAGATTTACAGCCTTCGAAACTCTAGGGGGCAGTTCTACTCTGTCCTATAGGGTCGCTATGAATCGGAATCAACTCAATGGCCACAGGTTTAGTTTTTATTATTAACTAAAGTCCATAGTTTACATTAGGGTTCACTCTGTGTTGTACTGTCCAGTAGGCTTTGACAAATGCCTAAGGTCATGTGTTCACCACTACAGTATCCTAAAGAATAGTTCACTGCCCTAAAAATGCCCTGTGCTCCACTTACTTAACCCTCCCCCCTCCCGCTGGCCTACTTAGCAGCTGCTGATCTTTTCACTGTCTCTATAGTTTTGCCTTTTCCAGAATGTTACGTATTTGGAATCATGGAATCATAGACTTTTAAGACTGGAAAAAGTAAAAGCATTCTCAGAGTATCATCCCTGGACCAGCAGCATAGCATCTCCGGGGACCTGTTAGAAATGCAAGTTCTCTGGTCCCTACTGAATCAGAAATGGAAGGGGGGCCAGCAATCTGTATAACAAGCTCTCCCGTGATTCTGATTAGAACCACTGATCTAGTGAAAACATTGCTTTACAAAGAAGGAAAGGGAGGCACAGAAAGGCTGTTTATGATCACGTAACTCGTCTGTGAATCGTTCGATCAAACAATCAGACTAAGGGGCTGGAGGGTTGGTGAGCATGGCAAAGACAGCAAGCTGAAGGAGAAATGTCATCAAAGATCATGTCACCTGCTACTATTGCACTTTGCTTGTCATGGTTAGCACATACAATTACAAACACAGTTGTCATCATTGCTGAGGTCAGCTGGATTCTGGCTGAAGGTAGAGAATACCAGAAAGATGTTTCCTTGAGTTTTATTGACTATGCAAAGGCATTCGACTGTGAGGATCATAACAAAGTTAAAATAAAAGGGTAGGTCAACTAAGAAGGAAAAAACAGGGATAAGGAAAAAAAAAAAAAAAACCCTGCCAGCCTGGGAATGCTTGTTTACAGAACCAAAGGGCTATCTGGTAGAAGTCCTTGACTCCCAGCAATCAGTCCTGGCAGCAAACCTGGGTTTATCTCACACACACGTCCTCTGCCTCTCTGCAACACACATGAAGCTCTCAGAAGGCTTCTTGGGAACAGGAAATCATGGGGGTTGTTTTTTCTCTTCAGAACACTGGCTCTTAACAGCACTACCCTGCAATGAGGCAGCTCACCACTCCCAGAGTCATCCATTGCTGTCAGCAAAGCACAACTTAATAAGCTAATGGTCAGCTGTGTTCCACTATAGCAGTGATAAAAGAGCTAAATACCATTTTAGATAAATGGGAACCCCTTGCTAGGCTGTAAACTCTGTGCTTGCAGTGACCATTTTTACCTTATTCACTGTCAAAGACTAAGGACTAGTATGGTACCTGCCCCCAATAAGCACCAATATTTGTTTAATTGTAATGAAACCCTTGTGAGGGGTAGGCACAATAATTTGAATGTGCTAAGACATTATAAAGAAGCCCCGGTGGCGCAGTGGTTAAGAACTTGGTGGCTCACCAAAAGGTCAGTGGTTCAAATCTACCAGCCGCTCCTTGGAAACCCTATGGGGCAGTTCTACTCTGTCCTATTGGGTTGCTATGAGTCGGAACCAACTCGATGGCACCTAACAACAAGACATTATAAAGACATGTTTACTACTTCCCAAA